ATGTACATAGCAGCCTGGGGCGGTAGCCATAGAGACTACACGAATCGTAGCCGAATGCGACTTGGAGGAGTGAAATCGGTGCACAAAGGCAATTCGAGTCTTAAGATACCGGTAGAACAATCGATGTGGGTGGCTAAGAAATCAATTCCAAGGATGACGTCGTGTGGGCAAGCATCGAGGACTGCGAAAAAAACGGAAGTGTGGTGGCCGGCAACAGTAACGCGGGCAGTACACATGCCAAGCACCGATGTTCGACTTCCGTTGGCCACTCGAACAGTATCTCTTTTGCCATCTCTTTCTCTTTTTTTGCCACCTCTAGTCCTTAGTTTTACTAACATGGGCTGAGGGGTAAGTGTGACGGGGAGCGCGGAGGGCTGCACGATTTCACAATGAAAGATGGCGGCCACACCAGATATCACCACCTGCGCCATAGGTGCTTGGGGTGGCATTTGCCTGCTTTGCACATAGCCGCTAGACTTTCTCTCATTTTAGACAATCGCTTACACACTGCACCCACGGTTTTTAAGGTGCTACATGTTTAATTCGCTAAGAAGAATATGTTGCAAATTTCGAGTGGCATTAAGTCATTGAAAAAAAAAAAAAAGAAATAGCACAAAATGCTTTAAATTCCGACAGAACTGGCGTGCCGCATGAACCAATTCAGCCTTTGTCCTGTGTCATTAAAATCACCTTGCATTCTTTTAATGCTGCTTTTACATACTTCAGCTGAGCGAAACCACTGGTTCGCATGCATAGATAAACTGCCTTTAGAGTGTTGTCTCTCTTGGTGAAATGTAAACAGTTAGCTGTTGTTCAAAGTGAGTATACATGGCTGGAATGTCCTGCATGTCCTGCTTTTTTTTTCTGTCTCCCTCCTCTACCTCCCCCCCCCCTCCAATTCATTTTTTCGTACTTTAAGGGGTTGGATTCCCTTCAGTGTAAAATATTCAAATCATTTGTCTCGCCCCTTTTTGTTGAGAAACTTGGATGGGAGAAGGGAATGTTGTATCTGGAGGTTATTTTATGCATTGGACACTTTTTTTATTTTAGCAATCGTTCTCTCTACACTAGGACAAATGACATTTGTGAACTTGAGCCTTAGATGCAAAATAAATACTTTTAAGAAAAATATGGTACTACTTCTTTATTTATGGAACATTTGTGATCACATACTTCTGACACACATACTTCTCTATATGTTACTTTAAAAAGTCAAATTATGTGCACCTTCTCAACTTCAAGAGTTTCTGGCTCTTCCTTTGGACATTTGTATCTTTGTTTAAAGATATTGCTAAGTGCATACACGTGAGCAGGAAAAGCTGGACTACTTTTGCAGTCAGTTCTTTGCTGTGAATTTCGCATCCAGCTCTATCCAGCTTGATTTTTGCAAAGAACTTATGAAATCTCGTATACTGAAGGAGTGCAATTTTTCACCAGAAAAAAAAAAAGTAAATGCATCCTCCAAAGTTTTCACCAGTGCGGCCAGATTTTCACAAGGATACAGTAAGCCTCCCCTGTCAAATACCTTCACTAACTCACTGTTTGGTGTGACAGTGGCTCCGAGTTTCATGGTGGCAAGATCATGAATGCACTCATTACAGGAGCTTTTTCTTGTTCAACTTTTTAGCAACATAATCAGTAAGTAAATAATTGAGACAGCTGTCACTTTTCTGAACGACATAGCTACTGTGATCACCACTTGAAGACTGCAGTGCAGACCTAACGCCGTAAACATCTCCAACTTCCAAGATGTCTTCTATGATGTCTCGTATGCCAAAAATGGAATCACTTGAGCCTGGCGCCGAAGTGTTACAAAGAGCTTTTACAAGCTCTGCGAGGGAGTTCCCACTCTTGGGTTCTCTTGCAAGATTATATAAAGATAAGCAAAATACAGTCACCAGGAACTGTGCCAGATTCACACGGTCATTACTAGCACATTATTGCCGAATGATCCTGCAAGCATTTTCCTGTTTGTCCTGGCTCAGTCGGGTGACTAACACGGCCTGTGTTCTGCGAACCAGCACAAGGTCGGTTTGCTGAACATGCCAGACAGGTCAGAACACAGCCCAGAACACCTGGCCAGACAAACAACAATGGCAGAGGCGAAGCATCTGAACGAGGCAACGGCACAGCAGAGAGAGAATGAACGAGCCCAAGCATGCGTGGCAAGCGCATCTTAGTACACTAGCGCCCCTGGCGGCGGCCAGGATTTTCACTGTATTTGCGCGCCCCTATACCACGGCGAGAAAGCAGCGCCCGTCATGCTACCCCCCCTAGGCACCATAGTTTTACGAATCCCAAATCTCAAGGTTGCAAGCTTGGCTAATCTACATTTCAATCTTCAGAGTCTGTCAAAGGATTCGACAGACGTGGGCAATGTCAATGTGCACTTTATGATTGTTTGCTGAGTGGGCTCGTTCAAAATACTACTTCTATTGAAATAGTAGTGTTCATATTCACTCTGCAGGATTTAGTGGATGTAGAATGGTTTGTGCGTTTTTTTAGATACTTCATTTTCATACTGCTCCAAATGTGGTCTTTCGTAATAAAAAATGAGTGTTTATTTCCCTGTGGCTTGCTCCTAATTTGGATTTTTTTTCTTCAAAAATAACATTTTGCTGCTGCAAAATTGCTCCAAATTCTATTTCGGCTGTCGCACTTCTGGGCATGCCACCACTTCATTATCATCGTTATAATCATCTGGACAGAACCTTTAAGAAGCTGGCGTAGCTTTTCAACCAAAATGTAGCAACCCGATGTATGCTGCAAGAGAACGCGGCTGCTTTCTTTCTATCCGAGTGCCCTTTCGTCCATGGCAACGTTTTCTATGCATCGTGTCAGAAACTCTTCATGCAGTTCTGCTTTAATGCGCACTTCTTTGCGCGCACTTCTTTCTTTAAGTGCAGCTTTGCCGCACATAACCCTGTGCCATGATGCATGCTCCTTCTTTCCCTTCTCCTGCAAGCACGGTATGTATCTGGGAGCCAAACAACTTTAAAAACAAACAGGGCTGGTGTATTCATTATGTAAATTAACGTGGTTTTGAGGTAAGCTTTTTTGGGGGGGAAGGGGTGAACCCACATTGCGGGGGCACTGGTTTCAGTATGATACACGCTAGTTCTGTATGCGGCGGCGTCCGCGGCTCAAATATGCTCTACTGTAGTTTATATAGTTTAGTCTTGACTGTGTGCAGAGGGATGCCTGCTCTTAGCTATGCACTTGGCGATTTCTCAGTGTACCAGAATTTTTCTGAGAGGAAGCTGTGCAGATTCATTCAATTCAGCGCATGTTTTTGAATATAGTCTTTGGAATTTCTTCCTTTGCTGACCCCAGTTTTTATGGTCACTTTGTCACTAAAGGAGCCTATGGCATTGTGAATTGTCGGCGCAAAAATTTTTTAGAATCCATCCTGTACAAGTGGAGTTGCAAAGATTTGTAACGAGAGGTTTCACGAGGCAGGAAATAAGTCACGCCCGCCTCGTGACCTTGAGCACTGTTTTTTTTTCGTGACCTTGAGCACTGTTTTTTTTTCTTCTTACTCCCGACCTCGTGACCTTGAGTGCTGTTTCTTTCTTTTTTCTTCCTCCCCCCCCCAACTCACCTGCACAACTTTACAAAGGAAGTCGTGGCTTCCCGCTGCAACCCCAGTAATGACCAAGTGCGCCGTGCTCAAATCAGCCAATGGCTGATACTTGGCCTGTGGTGCAGTGATTTTTGAGCTTGTAGTGTCATTTATCAATAGAAGAGAAACTGATAATTAGCTGTCTCTTACAATTAATCGAAAATTCTAAGCCATGTGCTTCACTATAAACAATTACTTGGTGTGTTCTCGGGAGCCTCGAGTACCATTCAACAGTGTCTTCTGGCCATGCTCAAAAAGTGTTTCAGAGTCTCTTTGAAGTCACAATTGGGAAGAAAGGAAGCAAGGCCATGTGAAGTATAGATCAATAAAGTTAATGTAAATGTTCCAGTGATAGTTAATGTCTACACAGGCATAATCATGTGATAAAACAGAGGGGAACTGTCCTACAGGAGTTCAAAAATATTTCACTGTCCTGAGTGTTGGAATGCGATATAACACTAAATTTATTTATGTTGCTTGTTGCTGAAAAAGCCAAGTAACAATAAGTTATAGTGCTGGAGACCGTAGCACATTTTTACATCCTATTGTACACTTTCTTTCTGCCTCTGTTCAACAAAACATTAGGAGCTTGCATATGCGAGCACTCTGGGGGGCCCAGTAGTCTAGTACTAGAACTCTAATAGATACTTAAGCAAGCATCCCCTTGCAGGAGTCGTGAAATATGTGGCAGTTATCAAGCAGAACGCCACCTCCCCTACCATCATTTTTTTTTCTCAACCTGCTCATCGCTGCAGAATTGCACAGCAGTGGCCCTTAGGAACCCAAGTTTTTAGAGTTTTCAGAAATGGACATGATTTCTTACTACTGTTACAGTGCGGTGCCTCGAGTTTACATTATAAGGTGTCACAAATTTTTAGAACATTTTGAAGTTTCCCCCTATTATAACACAGCTTTCACACAAGGATTTTTTTCAGTTCAGTATAAACTGTGAATGCGTGCATAATATATGAAGGGTTTCATTAGACGCACAAGTGCACATTCTTCTGAAAGGATCTTCTGCTGCCACCTTGAATTTTTGTCCACAACCGACCTAAGACCAAAACCTCCAAATTTTGTCGGATTACTTTACTTATTGGGCACGAGGACACACCGGGGCGCCGATGCAGAGTCATCCCTGTGATGTGCATGGTTGGATTGCTCTGCCACCCTCTCGCGTGCAGCTCGCAGCTGCTTTCGAGTCTTCTTTTATTATGGTGTCATCCCCCATAATCATATCATGGTTTCGGGACATAAAACCTCAAGGATTATTATTATGCTATAAATTATTACTATTATTACTGCTCAGTGAATGTACATCATTTCTCTATGCAATGCTCTAGCCTGGAGGGTGCAATAAGTGAATCAACAAATGATTCAGGGAGGAGAGCAAGATGCCCCCACGGCCCCCTCCGCCTCAGCCACAGCGGCCAGAAGCTGGTCAAATCCTTCTGCTGGTCAAGCAAGACGGTAGTGCAGCCAGTGGGGGACGGCTCCTGCTGCCAAGGCCATTGCCTCAACCTCCTCCTCCTCCTCAGCAGGTACTGGCTTGGCCCATGTTAAGTATCTGCGTGAGTTTCGTGCAGGCTTCCTATTGGCCCAAGAGATCACAATTTCCAGAACGAACATGGAACTGAGCGTTGCCACTAACAACTGCTTTATTTGCAGAAATACTCGTACATATGTATCTATATATCGACCAGTCAATCAAATGAAGCCTTTATTTTGCATGATTATGGTCACATAAGCTATCAAACTAGTTTTTTTTTTTTATGTAGGGAAGTCTGCCCTTGAGTATACTTTTTATTCAAAAATACATATGCAAATTTAATGCAGCCACCAGTGTAACGTACTTTGAAGGCCGGTACGCATTCCGTGCACCATTCTCTAACATGTGGGACTCGCTCGTATACAAGTTCAGGCTTGATGAATTCCTGTTTTGTAAGTTCTGTTCATTTCTTTCTCATGGTGGGGATGTGCTGGTCAATTCGGTGCATCAGTGTGGTCAAAAGCAAATATTACGCCTCACCCCTTTTACGTATAATTGAAAGCCCTCTGCCAAAATGGACTGTGGACATCGTTAGGTGGACAGATTGAAAATAGCTCTGTGGGAAATTGTATCTTTCTCTCTCCAGTGGCCTGAAGAGTATTGCCTCACCTCAACCATCCAGCGTCCTCCAACCTTATAGGGCAATGACCTAACTGACTGGATAGCATAATCCTGGAGTATTAGACCTATTACACTGTGTATAAATAAATAAATATAAATAAGAAAGTTATATCGGTGGGAAAACGCATGTTTAGCGAATGTGTTTTACGCCGGCTTCACTGACATGGCCTTGTGAAATATATACTAACAGATTGTAGAGGAGACATACCGCAAAATTCTGAGCAAGTGCCCCCACATATACTAGAGTTGCTGTATATGCTCCCCATGGGAGCAGAGTTGCGCATAGGTCCGCCATTATGTTCCACGGCTGTGCAGTGAAGCCACTTGTCGCACGCGCAGGAGAAAAATATAGTGCGATGTTCCGATGCGGGCAACGTGCTGCAGACTTATTCACACGCACTGAGCAATATTGCACTGTTGCAATGAGGAGCTTAATGATTATAGCTAGCGAAAATGCTTGAGGCCCATGTGCTCAGATTTAGGTGCACGTTAAAGAACCCCAGGTGGTCAAAATTTCTGGAGCCCTCCACTACGACGTCTCTCATAATGATATGCTAGTTTAGGACATTAAACTCAACAATTACCTATATCAGGTGAAAATGATTAAAAAGGTAACTCATTTGTAATAACACTGCTGCACTGTTTTTACACACGTACGATGCACAATGTTTCTGCAAAAACAATTTGTGATGGCCTAGTTCACTTTGACCCTGCTAGATGGCCCCATCTATCCAGTCTGTGGGGGCTCACACTTTTGTGACTTCGATGTTCTGGCCATTCTAGCTTTGGTAATCCAGCTGAAACAATGAAATTGCATTGGTGCTTGTATCTCGGCTTATTTTGACTCAATGTATGGAGTCTTCGCATTGCGGATATTGCCAGTACCAACGAACGAAGGGGGATTTCCGAGGTAGAGCCGCAAACGCAAAGCCTATCTAGTTGGTAGCTCACACTACGTAAATGTTTGCATTCTGTAAAGACCCGCTGATGTGCAGATTTTGTTCGTTAACACCGCAACATATAGAAGTATTCGCACAAACTAAAAGCTCTTAATGCCGGTCACAATGAGACTGAATACGGCGTGGGCAAAGAACGCGCAGGTGCCGTGCCATCGAGCATATAAAGTTGGCTACGCCCCATGAAACTGAACATTTCACGTCACTTTGCATCACGTGACAGCGCTCGCTAAATAGTGGGCGCAAGGAAAAGGTATGCGCAACTCTGCTACCTTAAGATAGCATATACAGTAACTCTAACCTATACAAGCGCCCCCTTCACCCCCCTCCCAACTCCACCAGCAATTTCAAATATTCACGCAGTTTCCAGAAAGTGCACCTCCTCTCTACCACTGCTCTGTGACAATCCAATCCAGTACTGCATTGCACTGCAGCCCAATTGCTTTGTGCCATTTGTTGCATTGTGTGAGAGAGGTCAGCTATGCTTATGCATTGGTGGTGGTTCGGGCCCTCAGACACGGAGAACCAAGGCTAGGACAACAAACATTCATCAACTTTAAACAACGATTACACTCACTATGAATGGCCAAACAATATGAGCAGCATTTATATCCTAAACGTGACGCTCGAAAGCCTACATACACAAGTGAATGGGTGCGTACAGTGCGCACGATGATACCGTGTGAGGCTGTGCGAGCAGACGTTAAACTTCTCATTCAGGAATACGCAGGTCACATTCAATGTAGCACTGAGGCCACGGCTTCAGCTCCTGGTTGCGACAGACCCGCTTGTATGTGGCACCACGACCATGATCTCGGCGTCGGTTGCGCTGAACCCGTTTTGACATAACACTGGGGTCACAACCTTTACCACTGAAACAGGTTCAGCTGCTCGCCCAGGCTGCTCACTCATTTACTACAGGAACAGCACTGCTAAGCCCAGTCTGGAGTATTCGATCATCCTCGGGACACTCGTCCCGACTGGCCTGGCAGCACTAGCTTGGACCCTTTTGGTCCTCCAGGTCGAGCGAGCTGTTCTCTTGCTAACTAGCCACATTCTTCAGCTCACACATGCCATGTTCCTCAGTCCCGGGCACACCTTCATCGTCCTTGGTTCTTTCCCAGTTTTTGTTTGCACTTTCAGTCTCAGTTTTCGTCTATGTTTGCACCCGTCTTTTTCAGGGTGCCAACGCAGCCTCTGAAAATTCAACATCGAGCGGAATATTCTCTATTGGCATATTTCATCATTCTTTAGCTCTTTTTTTTTGCTATCTTCAAGACGTCAGAACAGTAATTCACATTACATAATTAGGGCACATACTGTCGATTGTTCCATTCGAGAACAATCAGTTGGGAATCATCCCCTACCTTGCTTTGCCATGCATTTGCCCACTAGTTTTTTCTTGCCTTGTGTGATTATTGTGTGCGATAAAATGATTTTGCTCCATTTTGTGAATTACCGATTGTGCAAGCACACTTTATTGAGATATCATCTGTAAGAATTATAATGAAGGCGAGAGCGAAACCAATAAAAGTAATGCTGTCTCGGCAGGCATCAGCAAACAGCTTGTATAAACTTATTCAAAAGAGACAGTGCGTGCACGGACAGAAGGAAGGAGGGAGGCAGGACACTGCCAGGCATTTGTGGTGTCCTGACTCTCTTCTTTTGTCTGTGTTTGCTTGTTTCCGGACCTACAATGGCACCATCGGCTAAATCTGCTGCATTAGTTCATGCAGATTCGCTTTTGAAGAAGAGCTTGTCATTTTTCACTCAAAAGGTCTGTGGACCCGGCATGGATGGTAAAAGACTGTGACGGGTAGTGACATGATGCGCCATCTGTCACTGAAAAGACGGATTTAGTCTGTCAAGCTCATTGGTTTTTTCACGTGTATCCCAGAAGGCGACATCTTTTGATGGGGAGAAATGTTTTCTGCATACATTATGATACGGAAATTAATTTTAGTTGTTTGTTTGTTTGTTTTTATTATCATAATACAAAGTTGTGGGGGATAAGGATAATTGCTATCCCATTTTTCCTCCCTTTCCGCAATGTTTTCTGTTTGTGTTCGTAAAAAAGTGGGAGGGGACCTTCTCGTTGCAGTAATCTGCCGTATTCCAAATCCTTAAACTTGGCAGGTATGCCCCAGGTGATCATCAGAACCACTGAGGCATGCCTCATAGTCGCGATGTTAGGTGGCACGATAAATTGCATGATTTTATTTTTTTTCTTTAACTCTTTGATATGGCATCTATGAGGAACTGTATATAAATACATCAAATGGAGAGTGTTATTTCAAGGCACTTGATATTGTATTGCAATAAAAAGTAATGTTGTAACACGGTAATTTATGGGTGTCTTGATAATCATTTCAAATTACTTTGTCCTAAATATCTGTTCTGAAGCCATTTATGCACTATTTTTGTGTGAATCGAATAGAATGTTAGGCTAGTGCCAATTCGTTTTTGCTTATGCCTATGATGAGCAAAGAAAACTTGTACCTTTGAGTTGGGTTATGAGCAGCAGCATGTCACAGGAATGATCGAATATGGCAGTACCTTTGTTAAAGTGATCGAATGCAACAGTACACTGCCAATTGAAGTTAATAAAGATATATTTATGATGCAGGAGGTTTCATTCATTCAAAGTTTTCTTAGCTGCTTATCGATATACAGTGTAGACAATTTACAACGTAACTGCTTTTAGGGCAGAACTTGTGGCAATGCAAATAGAACTCCATGTATATGCATCCCACTTATTGTGCAGTACCCCAAGATAAGTAACTGGTTATAGTGTGGTTGCTGGAAAATCTTTGTGACAATTACGGTATCGAGTGCATGTCTGAAAGGAGGTGCGCTGGGTGCGCCGCTGGGGAGCAAGCGACAAGATCGTGATGAGGAGGAGGAGACACGGTGTGAACTAACGAAAGGTGGAAGGAAGAAAACAGAAAAAAAAACATGGCACGCTGGGCAGATCGCAGAGTAGTGAGAGATAAGCCTTAGCACCGGCGCCGAAACGGCTTAGCGTGGCTCTGGCAAGCGCGGCTCAACGTGGCACGTGCAATTCTGCCCTCATGAACTGCTCTATACTTTTTCCTGTACTGAAAAGCATCGTCGTTATCGCACTTGCTTCAGATACCACATTTATTGCATTGTCCATAAATTTTAAACCTTTTATGGCTTTGTGAGGCAAACTTTTACCTTTGCTGCCAGAGCGCTGTATTATGTAAGTTTCACAGATTTTCATCGTTGTTGATCTCCTGGCTGCGAACGCGATCTTCGTATCACGCTCGCTGTTCTTGGTTCAGTGCTTGGGTGCAGTCTTTTTGACACCGAATCTTCATGCCTTGGACAAACTTCCCGTGACAACATACTGAACAGCATGCTAGGCCTAATCAGCATTGGTTGCGCTTCGGTAGTGGTCGCGTGCAATCTGAGTTGCAGTTTAGTACCGAATTAACAAAACTCTTTGCGGTTTCTCCACTTGAAGGGAAGGTATACATAACGTTAATGAAAACAAGGGTGGCACATGTAGTACTCGAATGGTGGTTCGCTATTCGATTGTCTTGTCTTGAAATCGGGTGAGCACCTGTGAAATCGAATTGGTGTCTCTCAGAGCATGAGATTTCGTACAGGATTCGACTTAGTTTCTATATAATCGCATAATCGAGGTGGTCTGGGAACCAGTCGGTGAGTTTCCGTGAAGGTACTTTCTCTTCTTAGACACCCCCTTGCGTGTTTATTTCATTGCAAATGCATGTCTTCGGATGTTAAATTCTTTTTAATAATTAGAAATTTTATAGGTTGTAAGCACCACGTATCACATGCTTCGATATTAGGACACGCAAGGCTGCTCGTTCAACACGTTTCGCACAAGTGTGGCCCTTGAAAAAGGTTTTGATTATAGTGTGGTACCGCTTAAGGTGTGGATATTCGCGACTCCTGTGGCTTACGTTATAAGCCGTCTATACTGTAAATAGCAAATAAAAGTGCTGTAAAGAGTTGTGTATATGGCAGGTATGGGGGTTGATTTGAGAGCGTTTCTCGCATAGGCCACGTATGGAAAGTGTGTGAGCTCCTCCACTAGAGCTAATGCCCAGCAAGAATAGCACCAATCAGCGGGTGCTTTTTTACTCCGCAGTAACCACCTGCTAGGAAAGGGAAATGCCCAAGATGCAAAGCAAAGTTAAAGCTTGAAGGAGACAAGGAAAGTGAACAGGAATACTCGGCACTCTATGTAAGCGTGCTGTCATCTGCAAGACATGGCTGCCGGTGTAGCATCCGCAAAGCAGAAGTGCACTCATGTGTGTTGATTCAGTTGGGCACTTTACAGCAGCTGCCATCCTCCCCTGTCACATTGCAACTACGATACTCCCTTTACCCCCGTTCAGAATTCAACTTGCTAATGAAGTTTTACGAAAATAGAGTTGTGGCCGGGCTACACGACGTAGTGCAAGCTTTCGACGGCAGCCGCATAGGGCAAAAACAGCGCTGCTGCGCTTGTCAAAACATCCCATCTTTCACATATGTAGTCGAGTCGCCTTTAAGGTGAGCGGGCTGGCCCTTGGGACTTAAAAGCAACAAAAAAATTTATTTTTTATGATTGACATGTTTGGTGTCTGCAAGTATTTTTCTACATCTCTGCAAATTTTGACACACCAGGAAGTGGTACTTTTTTGTAATGTCATTCTGACCATCCAGATTTTTGGTGCTCCACAAATGCAGAACCTGCATAAAATGGGGAGCCTACTTCAAGGCTTCTTTATAACTTGCCAGAACCTGTGTTAGAAGCTCTTGTACCAATTCATGAGCGCCTTTATGAGCATTGCAAAACATGCACACCGTGACTGTTGTTTTTTGAAGAAACTGTGTGTTATTAGTTTTTACCATTTTTCTCAAAAAAGTAAATTTACGGCTCTTTAAATTTTAAGCCTCAATATCTCCGCAGCTAGGGCAGCTACAACAATAATTCTTTTTGCAATGGAAACCTGTACATGTATAGAATCCAAGTGTGAGAGTAGACTTTAGAACACAAGCCTTTTTAATGATTACTCATCAAAACTGTAACACAATTTCAGTTGCTTTTGAAAATAAAGATTTTATTTTGCTGTAAAAATAACCAAGAAATGCCAAAAAAACAAAAAAAGTATTGCATACTGTCAACCTCTAGTCATTAGTGTATGTTGACATATCTTAACTATCAGTTTTAATTAAGCTTTTTTTCTATGGTGGCCTTAAACAATAGAGGGTTAACTTAAGTTATCCCAGCAACAAGACGAGTTACAGGAAAAGTAATTACACATTTAAAATCCGCCGAAAAAACTGCATAAGTCTATGCAGTTTGGTTAATATTACTGAAGAAATAAACAATAAAATGTCTATGATGAGTATGCCCCTACAAGTTTACAAGGCAACATACAAGTCTTTTTTATTTTTTTTCCGTGCATTCCCTTAAACTAAATTGAGAAAGGATGCTAGAAAGTACAAGTGTTAGTTCTTTTCACGTAATGCTGCCACATTTTCAAGTGGAGACAAACAAGCGATATGTTCATCATTGCAAACTTACAAGATGAAATGGACGCCATGCGATGAGAACTGCATCTTCTTCGACGAAAAGACGAAGTACTCAAAGAACCTCTGACACCAAATTTTGAAACTTGAGATGCTTGTGTTGTTTGAGAGTTCTGCATGCGGGGTACCAATTATTAGTGATGACCGATTATTAGTAATGAGTGCTGTCTATAAGTTTATTTGGTTTTAAAGTAAGAGTGTCGTGCAATGCTTGTCTGAGTATTCAGGTGCAATTAATATTTTCTGTAGTTTTACATAGATATGAGGCCCCGTCCTGGCGTTGCAGAGGTCATACAAGTATTATTGGTGTTAGAGAACATTTGCGGGGGGCGCACAATACTCTGACTGGCACATGGCCAGGACTATTGTTTGTCACCTCTCTCGATCTGATGTTGGGCTGCTCTCAAGGTGGTTCTGGCTGCTTACGGCAGGAATGATGATCTTTTTTCTGAGGGGGATACACTCAAAGCATCCACATGGTCTCATTCTTCACCACTTGTGGGTCCCCCTACCTGAAGACAGTGCATTCAGTTGCACCGAAGGTTGAGCGCACATAGTCTCAGGTGCCGTCCCGCTGTGGGCGCTATTTTCTCATGCTCCGTCTAGCTGGCTATTTAGGGGCATTTTGAACTGATGCAAGATTGTTCTGAATTAACGATACTAGCATACATTATACCATGCATTAGATAATTTACAATTCAATTTCAGCATTACTATATGCAAAGGTGCAAATCCTTGTAAAAAAGTCACTTTTCACGGTCAGAGGTCCTTTAAATAGAGTTGTGTGGTGGCAGTGTGACTCGGGTATCAGCTAAAAGAAGCACTTCAATGTTCTCATGTCATAGCTTTATGCTTAGGAATCATTGGCAGTCATTGCTAAAGATGTGCATTAGCCGTCTCTCATTCATTGCCAGCCCATCTCAAATAGTGTGGCACCTTTCCCAGCAGGTCCTCCTCCATGTGGGAGATCCGACCACCATGTTCATGGCCACTGACTGCCCAACCATGACTTCAACAGCGATGCCTACGGAAGTTGCAACACCACGTATGTTGCCTCCTTCCTTCTATTTTTTTATTCGAAACGTCATTGTGATCAGAGCTCTTTGCAGAGCCGTTAACTTTTGCATGGAATGTTCTGAGTACTTCTGGTAGTTAGCCTATGTTACCTCCTCCTGCGAGTGAAATACATAGATCTTGAGGAATTTCTGGGAAATGCAGTGTGCAGGAGCATTCAAGCACAAGAGAGCTCATTTATGCCTCAACAGTTCAGGATGACGTCATGCCAAATCTTTGCAATTTTAATGAAAGGCAGTGTGTTCTGTGGCACTAAATAGTAGCAATTTGTGTCAATTTCGCCAGTGTGAGTGGTTGGCCGATCACTGGGGAGTAAACTACTCTTTTCCAATTCACTGTTTTTACCGCACCGCTAGTGCCAAGGCCGGTGCCAATTTTTTCCCTGTGTCATATGACCCTGAAATAGTATATCGTGAAATGCTGAGCAAGCAACCCAACCAAAGCAAGCACCCCTACCTTTCTCGGGGGATTTGAAATATCGTATTTACTGGCATAATAAACGCACCCCCAACTCAAGTCGCCAAATTTGGATTTTTTTCTCCACGTAATAAACGCACCACCTACATTCATCAGCTGCAGTCCTGCTAACCGACACCTAACGTCTCCTTACCCTTTGGAAGTCTTCCGTTTTTAGTATTACAGTCAAACCTCGTTATAACTAATTTGAAGGGGGAGTCGTAGTTACTTCGTTATAACCATTAGTTCGCTATAGCCTATATTCATTTCTACCGACCATTAGCCAGAAAGAGAGTATGTACTCACCAACGAATATCACAACTGCTCTTCGTGCTGAGAAAAATGGCAATAGAAGGCAAAAAATTGGCAAAACAATAAAGAACAATGCACTTTATTTCTGCCAATATGAGCACACCCGCAGACAGATCACTTTGAAGAACAATAGTCCTCAATAGACTTTTGCCAACTCTTTCTCACGCGGATGACTGCTTTGTTAGCTGCAGCAGCTATTTCTAGTCCATTCTCGTCATCGTAAGCACCAAAGAAGCAGCACAGCAGATCTGTCGCATGCAGTATTTGCGCGAGGGTCGTGTTCGCCAACATTAGGCTCCAAGGTGCTGACACATTAGTCACGGTCGTCGTGCTCGCCCGTCACCGTGGGCACGATTTCCCCATCTGACAACTCTTCGGTTGTCATCGCTGTAGTAACTATCCCAGATTGTCCGAGCCGGACTGGGAACCAACGCAGAATGCCTTTATTTTGCAGACGAATAAGTATATATATAGGTGGCTTGCCTATGACGTAACACAAGTGGATGACGTTGAACACGTTTTGACATTGCACTTCTTATCACTTCTCCCTTTCTTTTAAAGATTGTGTCTTTGCACGAGCCTTCGTAGTCGGGTACACCTTTGTAAGACTTGAGGAGTTGGGGAACCAGCCACACCTGGAAGAGATGTTTGTGGCATTGCCGAAGGAACGGGAACAGCGTTAATGCGTGCTGGAGTGACCGGGCTTAGTAGCTGCTCCCGTGGTGACGCTTGCTGCTCCGCGTTGTCGCAGCCGGGCGGTACCGTTTCAGAAGTGTCCGCCTTTGGAGCCCCGGGTGACATTCGCGGACGAATCTAGTCTAAGTGACGCCGGGTCGGCCCTTCTGGTGTGTCGACTTTCACGAGGCGCGAACCTTCAGAGCCTCTGATGATGCCTGGGCACCACCGCCTTCCGTGTCAAAAGCTGCGCACCCACACCGGGTCTCCGGGCTGGAATCTGGAAGGCTGCGAATGACTCCGAGATAAAGATGGCACACAAGTATCCAAGCGTGAACGCACTTGATAATTAAGCAGCAGTTCTGAAGGAGACTTTCCGCACGATAGAGGCGTGCGTCGGTAGCCTAGCAATACTCGAGCTAGTTTAACTTCGAGGTCGTTTACCATCGAGTGTTTAACTAGACCGTCCTTGATAGTGCGAACTGCACATTCTGTAAGGCCATTAGATTGCGGGTGGTAAGGGGCACTGCATACCGTATTTACTCGCATAATCCTCGCACTTTTTTTGCCGAAAAAGCGATGCTAAGAGTGGGGGTGCGAGAATTACGCGGGGAGAACTTTTCACGAGAACGTACCGAGCGAAAAAAAAAAAAAGTGGCCGCAAATCGGGATTCTCACACCAGCAACTAACAGCAAGCTTTGAGAAGTACTAATTAAGAGTTACCTCCACAATAAAAGGAGAGGTTCAACACAAGGCAAGATTTATTTGAGACGCAAAAAGTGCAAGCAAATAGTCGAGAATTAGAATACCATACGCAAAGCTTGTGGCCGTTGCGGGCGTAATGGTAGCGTTCGTCGCTCACCAGGAGCCCTCAAAAGGTAAGCGTAGGACGTCAGTATTGGGCTGATGGCTATTTAACAGAATCGTCCGCAGTTTCCTTCTGAAGAAATAAAGTTTACCATCAATCCCAGTTTTAGGCACACGGCAGACCCAACACGTCTTGGTGGCTTTCAGCTGCCGTCACCAGTAGCAAACACAAAACTCGTAGGCTCCGAAGGGTTTACCGGCGGCCCTGTTTCCGTTGTTTAGTGCATGATCCATCACTTGCGACTTGAAGCAGCCGTGTAGCTTCAGTATCGCCTCATAACGTGCCAAGATTACCGACACAACAAACAAAGCATGCCGCAACGTGCACTGGCCACTTCGGCTTAGCTTGAATTGGATTGAATCTCTGTGCAATAGTACGCTTGATGCTTAAGAGATGGCGCCAGATGGCGCGCGCTATCATCATGGAGCTGGAACGAGCAGACGACTTTATTGCGGCAGTTTTCGGGGGTGCGATAATTACTCGGGGAAAAAAAATCGTATTTTTTTGGGCGATGTAGGGGGTGCGAGAATTATGCGAGTGCGAGGATTACGCGAGTAAATATGGTAGATCCGTTATGTTGTTATTTGTCATGAACTGGGCAAACTGCTGACTTGCAAACTGGGGCCCGTTATCAGACACTACAGTTTGCGGCAAACCAAAACGCGCGAATAATTCGCGAAGCCGTATAATTGTGACTTCGGTAGTTGCTGATCGGACTGGGAGGGCCTCGATCCACTTCGTGTGCGAATCGACGACTATGAGTAGCATGCGCCCCTCTATTGGCCCAGCGTAATCAATGTGAAGCCGTGACCACTTCATTCCTGTTTCTAGCCAACTAATAGGCTCCTGACGATGTGGCATTGCTTGAGCTTGTACACATCGCATGCATGAACGAGTGGGACTTTCGATCTCACCATCCAACCCTGGCCACCAGAACAACGTCCGAGCCAGTCTTTTCATCCCCGAAGCTCCCTGGTGTGACCGGAGTAACTCTGATAGCATGGGCTCCCGCGCCTTGCTGGGTATAACTCGATGACCCCAGTAGAGCAGACCTTTGGTGCTCGACAGTTTTAGTCTTCTGCAAAAATAAGGTTGCAGATGACTGTGACATGTTTAGAGGCGTTTCGGCCATCAATTGCGTATAAAGTTTTGGACAATACAAAGATCTTTGTCCGCACTGGTAAGCGCCTTTAAAGCATCCGCTGGAACGTATGTACTGTCAAGCTGCTCCGTGGACAGCACGTATTCTGGCAAGGTTTCGGAGTGAACAACCTCTGGTGTCGGCACTGGCAAATGGCTAAGTGCATCTGCATTGACGTTTTGTTTCCCGGCCCTGTACTCGATACGGTACCGGTATTGACTTAGGAACAGAGCCCACCTCTCTATACGCGCCGACGCCATTGGAGGCACCGGTCGTTCTTCTCGTAGCAGGCTCACAAGTGGTTGGTGGTCCGTCACCAGCACAAATTTGCGGCCCAACAGGTAGTCGCGAAAATTTGAGACTCCGAACACCAGCGCCAGAGCTTCCTTCTCGAGCTGCGAATAATTTTTTTCCGCACGCGTCAGTGTGCGTGAACGGAAACGATAGGTTTATCGACGTTGCTATTCGGTGCGAAATGACGGTACCTAAACTCGACGATGATGCATCGCATTCCAACCACACTGGTTGGTCGGGCTGAAAATATGCCAGCACGGATGAGCTGAGAAGCGTTGGTTTCGCCTTAAGATAAGAATTTTCTTGAGTTGCACCCCACTTCCATTTATGCTCTTTTTCGAGCAGCTTATACAAGGAAGCCAAGATCGCCGACATGTTCGGTAGTAATCGGCGATAATACGACAGCAGACCTAAAAACGAGCGCAGTTCGCTTACACTAGTAGGCGGTGGTAAATCGCGTATTGCAGCGAGGTTCTTTTCCTACGGGTGCAAGCCGTCTTTGTCGATCCGGTGCCCCAAGTAGACGATTGAGTCTTTACAGAAGTGACACTTTTCTGCCTTCAGCTTGACACCGTTTTCCTGCAGACGGTGTAAGACATTCCGGAGAACAGAGTCGTTACCGTCTTGACGCTCGGCTATTAGTACATCGTCCAGATACACCTGCATGACTGGAAGGCCAGCCAGGACGGTTTCCATGTGGCGCTGAAAAATCGCGGGAGCCGAGGCAACTCCAAACGGAAGACGGTTATAGCAGAACAGGCACTTGTGCGTATTTATAAAGGCTAACTTCTTCGCTTCCTCATCCAAGGGGAGCTGGTTATACACGTCCTTCAGATCTATTGTAGTGAAAAGCAATCCCTCACGAAGTGACGCGAAAATATTCTCGATGTTAAGTAGTGAATATTGCTCAGTTACGCACGCAGTTTTAATTGTGGTTTTAAAGTCGCCGCAGATGTGAAGGGACCCATCTTTTTTTAGTACCGGCACTATTGGTGCCGCCCACTCTGAATGTGCTATAGGTGAGAATATGCTTTCACTCGCTAAGCGTTCCAGTACCCTTTCCACTTTCTCCCGAAGAGCGTACGGGATAGGCCGTGCCTTGTGGGCAATCGGCAACTCGTTGCTTATCTGACGGTAGTTTTATACGGGCGTGATTTTTCCGTTAAACTGCATACCGCTGCCACATCCTGTTTGGTCATGGCGCTAACTTCCTGCACAGCAGTT